TGCCTCCTACGCCGTTTATGATGTTTCAACCTCTACTGTAACAAATTAGTCGATCTTGGGTGTGTACGAGGTACTGAGAACAGCTTGATTTTGCAATTACCCTGTACTGCTAGCTGGATGGAGTTTTGCGAATGCTACCCCCTCCTTTCAAAAATTTCAACTCTACGCGGGCGCATCCATTTCTGATCCATACTCATTCTCTACATCACTTAGTTTTTCCAACGTTCTATCACTCTCCAGGTTCTTTTTTCTTCAAGAATTCATCTACATTTCCCAATAAACCACCCTTAAGCGAGAGGGGGGGGGAGCTACTAATCTAACTAATAGGAACCTAGGACCTTAACCTGGTAGAAAACTATGAATGGGAGGGGAAAGAGTGTATAGTGTATATGTACATGAAACGGGAAAAAACAGCGAAAAGTCAACAACCGAAACATTTTTCTCATAGGCGAATACTCCCCCCCCCCTAGCCTCTCTCTCTGATCCTCAACGTGCAACGTGTCCTGATTTTACAATTTCACTAGCTCATATTATTGGGAGGATGTGGGAGAAGCAGACAAAAGGTGGAAAGCTCGCCGGAATGCGGTTTACCATAGCAAAAACAATGATTAGGAGAGCAGAGTCACACCCGTATCCTCCATATCCCGAAAACGGGAAGGGGGCTTCGTAAATAACTGGAATCTGGCGTAAGATGCGTTTTTGGTGGGATAACCTGGACAGAGGGATCACTACAGCCGCCTCACAACGGCAACACACTACCAACAGCGCGACCGCCACCACGGTTAAAACGAAGTTTCAGCCACGCCCACTCCATCTCGGGATGCAGAGTATATGTTCAAGTGAGAGAAAAGTTCGTGAAACGGGTTAAAGGTAAAACGGAAGTCCTGTCCTATCGATATAGAGCTATGTGGTGAAAGTGAAATTTGCATTTTGACATGGCAATAGGAAATTCGCCTGTTTTGGATGTGAGTTTATGAAAGCATAGATCAGTAAGAGGCGATTTTCCCTCTCCGAGCAAAAGGGATTATGGATCGATTTTTTACCGCCACTCATGAATATTTTAGCCTGACATCAATGACGTCATTTTTGAAACCTATCGGGGGTCATGATGGATGGCACCAGCTTCCCGCGACCGTTGAGGCTGAGGTCGCACCAGAGCAACATCTTAGGAATACTTCATAGTGGGCCTTCCATATACCTCGCTACCCTGAGGGGTACGTTGGACAATCCCCAACGGGGAAGGGGGGGGGGGTGTCGTCAGAAGGAGATTGGATCGTGATAGGTCTAAGAAACGATTTTTCAAGAGCTGACGACCCGTGTTCTACAGTTGCTACTCGCATTGCTGCTAGAACTCTGGAGAGGGGGGAGGAAATTCGAGTTGGTCCGCGTGGAATTTCAGCATATTGTAGTTAATGCCTGACTTAGGACGGTGTCAAGCGGATGAGCTTGGCGCATCCAAACCCGCTTCTTTACCAGTGTTAAACGACACAGCATATGTCTGTATCGTATCGTTCGTATTACTCGTTTTCTACCACTTTTTGTCGTATGCGCGCTTCAACAAGAAGGCGGAGAAGGGCTCTGACAGTGTGACACACTCATTCTGCCTATACTCCCGAACCGTCCGCAGCACGATCTAGAGTATAGAGTTTTCTTCTTTCATGGGTAGCTATTCATTACGCTGCGAAGAAGATTGCAAGTTGGAAGAGGGGAGGTCATATTCCCCTACATTCCTCCGTAGTTGGCAGCAACGATCACATTAACAATGTTTAGTATATTGTACGGTGGCTGAAAACAGCAGTTAGTTGATGACTACTGGCCCTTCCTCCCACTCACAGCAATAGTTTAGGAAAACTGGAAAATTCTCGAAGCGGTCACTAAATTTGTAGAAAAGCTGGCAATATATGTTGGTGTGAAGGAGAAGAAGAGGTGTGGGTCGTATAGGAGGATGGAATTCGAGAGGGAGGCATTTCCGAAAATTTTCTCCTTGGCAGGACCTGTCTTGTTGTACGCCAACACCACATAGGTGCTCAGTACTGATACATGCTTGCAGCACTTCAGAAAAAAAGATGGGAAGCTGATTTGCTGGGAGGGGTAGAGCTTCATGTTTGCTTCAGACATTTTGGAATTCACCTCCATCACTTACAGTATGCTTTTTTATTAGCAGTCCATATTTGCTAGCATTGATGATTAATAAGTGGCGCTGAATTCACTTGCAGTGCAAAGGGGGGGCGGGCCAAAATACACTTTGGCCGAGTCATATATCATAAAGTTTACGCAGCCCAGACAGAAGACGTGGACACGATTACCAAGGCGAGAGACACCCACGATGTTCCAGGAATAGGCTCTTATCCATCACCTTCATGTACACCAAAATATGAAGCAATCTCCAATCGCATCGTGACTGGAAAAGGCCTGTGGAATTCACGTCACCCCCAAACAGCTGTGAAACTTCTTGCTATGGAGTTCACCAGTTGAACAGCTGTACCTACGTATCAGCACTCTCATTCTGAAGGACTCTCAGCATCGACAAGCAGCGCCGATCGTTACATCACTCGCGGAGAATATCCTGCTTCTGCCATCGCCTGCCTTTACCTTCTTGGAAACTTTGTACTGGTACAGGAATGGGGGACTCCACGAGTTCGATGAAGCGGTTCTCCTCTCTCGTTTTTCCTCAACGCGGCACACTTTCTTCAAATTTCAAAGGCAAACGGCACGATAAATCGGTTAGGGGTGCAGGGTCGATACGCCTAACGCACAGAATCTTGTGTCCCTGAGCAGAGGCTGGGTGCCTTTTTCAGTCAGGGGCGCCATCATAACGCCTAACATGGTGCAACACGCTGACCCGAATGCCTACTGCGCCCGCCGCCCACAAATGGCCGGACAGTCACGTCGATGCTGGTACTCTCATCTTTTCATTCATGAAATACAATTAATATGGAGCGCTGACTTGTGACTACATAGGTGTAGCCGTGTCTATCAAAGAGCTTCCTGGCACGATGCCAACGGGAAACTCGTCCGAAAATGCTCGTCCAATGAGCAAAGGTATTTCGCAGGTTTCTGACCGTTTCACTTCGTTTTTTCGTCATTTTTCTTTTAAGAAGCACCCCTGCTACTACTTTCAAGCACCTTTAACCGCCTGCTCTGTCTTGATGTAACAAGCTTTCTTTATTTTATAGTAAAAGTTTGTATATTCTGAATTCAATAGTAAAAATCCGTGTAGGCAGGATCGTAATACACTGGAATCCAATCTCCTGTGTCTATGTCAAGCTTGTAATAACCTTCGTTGGCGAACCATTTCTTGGATTCCGCACACTTTGTGACCCCGTAGTGGCTAAAACATTTTGTCTACAATTTTCCTATGATCTGTGGTTTAGAAATTGAAACTTACCCAAGTACACGTTTATCGGTTTTTGACTTCACATAGGTGATTGTGAGTTGCAACTGGAACGGATCTTCGTGATAGATCCGCGAAAAATCAATTCCAGTACCAGGCGGTTCTGGTACGGAACCATTCCGTGCTTTCAATGCTGAGAGACGACCATTCGTTATTGGGTTCTCATTCGCTCTACCGGTAATCCTCAGGAATGCATAGTAGGCTCCATACCCTATGCCTTCCTGACTTCCATCGAAGGCTATATCTTTCCAAGAATTGAGGGTCTCGAAAGGGTGGTCTACGCGAACTCTTTTGATTATTTGTCTTGACGTTTTGTTGAAAAAGACAAACGTATATTCACGAAGAGCGAATCCACCTGAGTATATGCGATCGCCAGCTATGCACGGTGATTCTGCACGTTCGTATAGTCGTTGGTAGAACTGGAAAACGAATTCGTAATTTTCAAGGCCCTACTTTTAAGTGATAGGGAACATCAAAATATGCTTGAACCGTCCCAAATTCTCTCAGGGAGGTATTTAAGCTTTTCTTTCCCACGTATCGATCGAAAAATACGATATCCTGAGCCAGAAAGCGCTCATACAATGGTAAAGTCTTTCTCGGATAGTCTTGTTCGCTGCGGACAAAGAGCATGTTAGGCGGAATGGATTCGGCATAGCGCCAAACCCGTTTACCACTAGCTGTTGGAGCGAGCAAACGTCTTCCGAGAACTGTTGTCGCCTACCCTCTTCAACGAGTGGTAGAAAACGAGTTCGGAGCCGTGCCAAACCCATGCAGCCAGACACGCCCCTTCATCCGCGACAGACCAGACTCGGGTGTTTCACAAGTATTTCGGCCCTATTCCACTATTGGGCTGTGTTCATACTTTGCGTCCACTAGCGACCAATCGCGTCCAAGAGCGCTTCGAGCGTCACTAGGAAAATATGATTAGGAAAGTATATACAGGGGTGGCCAAAAAAGTCACTTTGCTTTCATTGGTGGCTTCAATTGACTTCCGAGCGCTATAAGTTACACTTTATAAATTCTGATCGGACATTTCTACCACCATATTAGAGAGCATATAAAATACTATTATGGCACCCCGCCACAGCCTTCTGAGGAGCGCCATCGAGAGATTCTGGCACGCGACCGCGATGTGGTCCCTGAGATCAGCGAGATAGTCGATTTCTCCGCCACCGTAGACCACCCTATTGAACTCCGCCCGAACCGGGTAATTGAGGGGATTCAGGTCAGGTGACCTACTTGGATATTCCATCTTCTTAGGAGCTCACTCCTATAGAGAAAGATCTCTATTCCATTAGTAATAGTTTGTATTATTGTATTGTACTAATAGTTCGTTCCGCTGTAGATACCCATGGGTGAGCCTTGACCACCTATTGCGCGGGCCGCCCTAGGTGATCTGGCGCGCTGGGGCGGGAAAATTACCGTATAAAAGGGCCCCCCAAAGGGCCCCTCATGTCTTCTTATTCTCGTCTTCCAGCTGTATTCTACTGCTTCCTACCAATAAATATTCTACTTATCGACCGTCTCCAACAACTACATGGTGCATCGGCCCGTCTGAGAAACTCGAATCCGCCCTAAAGCCAAGGATCGCTACTACGACCAAGCCATGACAACTTCACTATCCATTCGACAAGGGATGCTCACGAAGACATCCAGACGTCTATCCACGATTCTTGACGATGTCGCCAGCGAACTTCTCATCACGCCTCCACTCGACCAAGCGATGAGGAAGACCTACCTCCACGATAAGAAGATTCGACTGGTGAAGCTAAAGAAGAACATCCAAGCAGCCGCTGCGAACGTTCGACAATGGCATGCGATCCTACACGGAATCAGCGGACTCACTCGACGACAGTACTCCTCAACTGTCTGCAGTTCTGGAAAAGGTATCGACAAATGCGTCAGCGGCCCAAGACCTGCTCATACGTACGTGCACAAACAAGTCTGGCAGAGATCGATATGGCAATGGAGGATCTCTCAACATCAGTCACTTCACAACACCAGGATGAAGCAACGCCGATTCACCTTGCGCCCATACCGATCCCCACATTCAGTGGAGAGGTTTGGGAGTGGGAAAGCTTCTGGTCTGCTTTCAACCTTTCGGTTCATTCCAGGAACCTTGAGGACATCCATAAGATGAGTTACCTTGTGGAAGCCCTCCGAGGCGACGCCAGGCGGACAATCAAGCAGTATCAAGTCAGCGGATCGACGTACGCAATGGCGATCGACCACTTGAAAAGGAAGTATGGTGACCCGCAGCTGCTTCTGAATGAACTGGCCGGAAGACTCGAGAAGTGCCATGCTCAAGGAAGCCAAATAGAGGATCAGAGGATACTTTACGAAGAAGTATCATCGATCATTACACAGATGGCACTCAAGGGGGAGTCGGTCGATACGTTTTTCCTCCAAAGAACAGTCTTTGTCTAAGTTCAACGAAGCGGTTCAAAGGCACGTGCTCAAGACGAAACACGAACAAGCGGATCAGTGGACAACTGGTCTCCTACTTTCGCACGTTTGCAAATTCATTGATACCGAAGCAGAAATCCAGCGACATCTCGGCAAAGCGAACGGAGAGCAGGAATCGATTCAACAGAAAAGCGGTTCAGCGAAGTCAATGAAGCCCAAGAGCGGAAGGATCGAGAGCCGGAAGAGCATCATATGCTTCTTCTGTGAGGAGATGGATCACTCTCCGAGAAACTGTCCGAAGCTCACCACACGAGCACAAAGACTGGATCACATGAAGCGGAACTCCCTGTGCCTGAATTGTGGAGAACGGAATCACAAGGCCAGTGAATGTTCGAAAGGAGCATGCAGGATTTGCAACAAAGTCGGACATCATACTTCCATATGCCGTCAAGCAAATCCTCTCCAAGAGAATGGACCGCAGCCTGGAGCGGAAAGGAAGATGCCGACCGCAGCTCAAAAGCCTCCGCCACGAAAGGCAACAAGACAGAATTTCGTCTCCTCGACCATCGATCACCAGGTCGAGGACGGCACAGATGATGAAGATGTCGAAGCCGTGCTGTGCATGAAGACTACAGACAACGACTCAAAGGACTGCGTTCTCGTCGGAGAAGCAGAGGTACTCAACTCATCGACACAAGCCCTGGAGAGCGTTCACATTCTCCTTGACACAGGTTCAGATCACTCCTTCGTCACTGAAGACCTAGCAAAACGCCTCGGACTGAACAATATCGACACTAAGTTAGGGTGGCCCGCTTCGGATGAAGATACCTTGAGAGCAGCGAAACCAAAAGAGACAGGAGTGCGGTGTAACCACTCTCCAGATCATCGATGACCGCGGCACAACTCATCGGTTCAAAGTTCGCTCGCATTGGACACATCACAGAACGTCTTCAGCAGAGCAAACTCAGCACGGAAGATAAACAGTACCTCGCTGAAAACGACATTCAGCTATCCGTAAGCCAGAAAAACGACCAGGTACATCCGCAGATATTGCTCGGATGTAACGACACATTTTCTCTACTGGACAACACGGAGAGGAAAATGGAAACGCTCCCTTCGGGACTACGGCTGATCCCCTCGCTGCTCGGATACCTCGTCGCCGGACGGATCCACGAGCACACTAAAGGGAAAGCAATGACTGCTCTAGCTTCAACTACGCCACACGAAGATGAGAAGTGGGACGACTTTCTCGCTTTGCAAGCCTCTGGAATCCAAGAATTTGCAGGGAGCAAAGCTCAAGAGCAGGAACAAATCAATGAGATGGTATGGAACACCTTCGAATCCACGATCGAACGTCATGCAAATGGGTATCACGTCCGCCTACCGTGGAAGGAGGAATCGCAAACGCTACCGGACAACAAGTCGATAGCACTCAAACGCCTCCACTCCAGTCTCTTCAAGCTTCGGACTACGCCGGAGGTATTACAGCAATATCACCAAACTTTCCAGGATCAACTCGACAAGAACATCATTGAAGAAGTCGATGTCCATCAACCGTCCGACGGTAACATCGTTCACTACCTCAGCCATCAAGCCGTGATCACGCCGACGAAGGAATTCACGAAGCTGAGAGTTGTGTTCGACGCCTCCGCGCACTTCAAGAATAAGCCATCGTTAAACGATGTTCTACACCAGGGACCGGTCATTTTGCCTGTCATGCGGGACATGCTCCTACGATTCAGAGTGGGACACATCGCCATGATCGCCGATGTCGAGAAAGCATTCCTGCAAGTCCATCTCAATGTGAAGGACAGGGACGGTGGCGCACTCGAATTGTTTAATGGCGGTCCGAGACACGTGCAGTCACCGAGGGACCAAATCTAAGTCACATATCGTTCAAGTGCCGCGTCCACCCCCTCGGGCCTAACTGTTCACCATTCTTGTTAGCAGGAACAATCAAGTACCATCTGCAGGGACACACGCAGCATACGGATCTGGCTGAAGAATTACAGGACAATGTTTACGTCGACAATGTGGTCCTCACAGCGTCCAGCACGGAAGAAGCGTTAAGGAAATATAAGACTTCCAGAGCGATATTCAAGGAGATGAACATGCATCTCCGCGGATTTCTAACTAACGACGCTAACGTCAACAATGCAATCCCAAGCCAGGACAGAAGCGGACAACCCATCCGAAGTCCTCGGACTCATGTGGAACTCAAGGAAGACACACTAGTAATTGAAGGAAGATTTATCGCGAAACCAGTGGTCACGAAGAGAACCGTCTCAGAGCAGATCGCCTCCATCTACGATCCCATGGGTTGGCTAACTCCTCTTCTGGTGAAAGGGAAGCTGTTCCTCCAGTCTCTGTGGAAGTATGGCTACGACTGGGACACGAAGCTCTCGTGTGAGCATGAGAAAGAATGGAACGAATCAATTGCTCAAGTAAATGGCTTCAGACGAGTCTTTCAACGTCTCATTTCATCGCTCCATTCAGAAGTGAAACTGGTGGTCTTTGCGGATGCTAGCACTCAAGCAATGGCAGCATGCGCCTATATTGTGGCCGGCACAGCACCTCACCTGGTATTCGCACGATCGAAGCTCGCCAACATGAAGACACAGATGACCATCCCGAAGAAGGAGCTACACGCCTTAACGATGGCTACGAGGATAGCACTGATGGTACACTCCGCGTTGGCCCAGCAACTCAACTTCACTACCGTTGAAATCTTCACGGATTCCGAAATAGCTCTAAGGTGGATTTCCACTTACCCTATCAAGAAGGAGGTCGGCCGTTTCGTCAAGAGACGAGTAGAGGAAATTCGAGCTATCGTGGAAAACATGAACATTAGTACACGCTTCGGTTACGTTAACACGGACGACAACCCTGCCCGACAGCGCCACAAGAGGACTAACGGCCGTCGAAGCTGAAAACCACATTTGGTGGACCGGGCCTCAATTCCTAATTCAGCCCGAAGAAGAATGGTCAAAAGAGCGCCGGATGTTCAAGCTTCCTCAAGATGTGGACGCTGGACCAGAGGAATCGGCTACCGAACAAAACGTCATGTTGACAACAACTTTCGGACGTATACAATGGCAACGGAAGCGAACTTCTCGACTGGAGCAGACACAACACCTTAATCTCTGCGCAAGCTTCAGTGGCATACGCGATGCGATTCATATGGAGGATTTGCTCTCGCGTCAGTGAACCACTTGCTTCAAGGATCAAAGAAACCATACCAGAACTGGGAACTTGCCGGAAAACTTCCATCCTCAATGCTAGCGAACGAAGAGCAGCGCTACGTGTCATCATTCGGAATCACCAGAGGATCCACGTTACTGAACAACTGCGACGCTCTGTGAAAAACCTAAATTTGCAGCCAGACCAACATGGAATTTTTCGTTGTCGAGGGAGAATGGACAGAGCGGACATCCCAGAATTGGCGAAGAACCCTCTGTTCATCGCGGCAAAGACGCCCCTTGCGCTATGCATCATCAACGACGCTCACTTGCCGCTCCACCAAGGAATCTCGCACACCATGGCTACAGTGCGAAACGAGTACTGGATACCGAAACTCCGCCAGCAAGTACAAGCTGTAGTCAGGAAATGCATTCCATGTCAGAAGATGAATGCATTACCCTTTCAGTATCCGGCTATGGGACCGCTTCCGGAACGACGCGTGATCAAGACGAAACCCTTCGAGAACATCGGAATCGACTACTTCGTCCTCTTACAACGAAAGGAAGAGAGGATCGCAACAAAGTTTATGGGCTTATAATCACGTGCATGACGACAAGACTAATCCACATCGAAGTAGTCACGGAGATGTCAACAGAGAAATTGCTGCTAGCACTTCGAAGATTCTTCGCTCGTCGAGGAGTACCGAGGACAATCACTTCAGATAATGGTCCTTCGTTTCTCTTGGCCGGTCAGATTCTCAACGACACCTTCCTCTCTACGAAGACCTCCGAGGCGCAATGGCAAGAAGAGGAATAGAATGGACGACCATTTCGCCTTATGCTCCGTGGCAGGGAGCGTTTTACGAACGGTTGATAAAATCGATTAAGGCATTCGCTCTTCAAAACAATTGGAGGCCGGATCTGGAGGAGGAGGAATTGACAACTCTGCTTCAAGAGATCGAAGGAAGTCTGAACAATCGTCCGCTCACGTATCAAGGATCGGAATATGAGCAATTGGTACCGCTACGCCCGATCGATTTCATCGTAAAGGATATTGAGATCACGAACCCGCTTGAAGTTCTACAACAGGACGCTGACGACCCGGAATACACTCCACCGGAAGAACTACTTCGCATTCAGACCAGAAGACAAGCACTAGAGGCTCTCGCTTCCACTCACAAATTGAGTGAGAAATTCTGGTCTATATGGCAGAAAATTTATCTCAGTAGCTTACGAGAAAAGCATAAGCTGCACATGGATACCAAGCGATCTGGAAACTGCACACCAAAGGAGGGCATGGTTGTACTCCTAGCCGATCCCAACATCCCACGCAATACATGGAAAATGGGACGAATTGTATCACTTCAAGACAGGCACGGATAATGCCGTACGAGAAGTCGAACTTCGCATACCTAATGGACACGTTCTCAGACGACCAGTCAATCTTCTCGTGCCATTGGAACTACAGGAAGAAGAACACCCTCCAAGAGAAACTATGGCAACATACCAGAAAACTACTGGGTAGAAACTTACCAGCTCCAGCGACACGATTCTTCAGATTTCTCGGTGCAAGAAGAAAAGCATCATCAATACAATCTTCGAAGACGACCACAGCGAGTCTCGAGTTCACCAGCCCATCAGTGAAGAGCCGGGAGTATAGAGAAAGATCTCTATTCCATTAGTAATAGTTTGTATTATTGTATTGTACTAATAGTTCGTTCCGCTGTAGATACCCATGGGTGAGCCTTGACCACCTATTGCGCGGGCCGCCCTAGGTGATCTGGCGCGCTGGGGCGGGAAAATTACCGTATAAAAGGGCCCCCAAAGGGCCCCCTCATGTCTTCTTATTCTCGTATTCCAGCTGTATTCTACTGCTTCCTACCAATAAATATTCTACTTATCGACCGTCTCCAACAACTACACTTCCATTCCAGGTAGGCGAGAGTTTCTCCAACGCCCTTCGATTCCACGTGGTGGCACCCAATGCTGTAGCAGTACAAAGTTTCCAAGAAGGTACGGGCGACGACATGTGGGGAAGATATTCTTCTTGAGTTGGTCGATGTAACCGCCAGCGCTCAGCTTCAGCCCGGGGTCCACGAAGAAAATATTGGTCTTTCCATTCCAGGTGCGTCCGGTCCATACCATCAACCCGCCTGGCGACTGCGGTGAAGATGATGTCCTAGACCGTAGCGACGTTGTCGGAGCTGCTCGATGTTGGAGGTCTTCCAGATCGAGAGTACTGGTCTCCAGGTAGCTATCCATGGGTGACTCCACACTAGAAGTTTCGCAGCTGTTTGGAGGTGACATGAATTTTAAAGGTCTTCTCCAGTCAGGCTGCGACTGGAGATGACTTCATATTTTGGTGTACATGAAGGTGATGGGCGAGGGCCAGCTCCTGCTTATCGAGGAACATCTTGGGTGCTTCCGCTGGTAGATCGATCCAGTCTTTCTCTCTGGGCTGCGAAAACTGTTGGCTTGATTTCGACCTCGTCGAAATGACTTTTTTTGCCCCCCCCTTGTATAGTCTACCTAAGCCTCTGCCAGCATCTGCGAGCGCCTACCAGCGTCCACCAGCGACCATCACCGTCTTGAGGGTTAGGGAAATATAAGTATCGATCTAGCGTCTGCCAGCGTCTACCAGCAACCGGCAGTCTCCGAAAGTGGAGAGGGGGATAGCAGGGTAGCAGGCCGCTGGTAGAGTATGCGGCGATAG